GATTAACCAAAATATATTACAATTAAATTGTAGTTAAGTGAATTTTCCATGCAATTGCTTATTTGTAATACCGCTATGATGTTCCAATCGAACGTTTTGCATCTAATCAGCAATTAGGTTACGTGTTATAATAGTATTGCGCAGCGGTTCACCTGTCGCTTGATCTTAGAACATGCTGCTGTGTTTATTCTTTGGCTAATACTTTCACAACTTTCCCCTTTTTACTTTCACGAATTTAATAACCGATATACAAAGCATGAAATTATGCTTCAGTGATTAGAAGAAATTAATATTTTTTTTTGGATTGTATAAGAATAATTAATTATGATGATGTATGAATGTCATTCGCTCAATCAACTGCTGCGAAATTTCATTAATTACCTTGTCATCGTCGTACGTTGCGTTTCAAGGTAGAAAGCGAATTAGTCTTACGTCAACCGATCCCTGAAAGGCCCTACCCTTTCCTGTTCTGCATTTAATATAGGTATATAGGCAGGACTTTGCCATAATGATTGTTTTACGAGATAGGTTTCATGTCCATTTTTTTTTTGCAATATTAGTATTCATGAAGTTTCAAATGATTCTAGAGAATCAACAAGAAGAATCTTGATTGCTCATGTCTCCTGGCTTGATCTTGAACCTGAAGAATTTGGTGTTACACCTTCAACTACATAATATATGAAATCAAATTTAGGGTTAAAATACTCAATAACTCAGCTGGTAATCCATTTGTATGATTTCACCAGACTATTTTGTTCTCTAGATATTCAAGTTTCGATGGAGTACGAGCTTCAAATTTGAAATTCATCTATTGTCTTCTGATACCAAAGCTTTCCAAAATCTTTAAAATTTGCTATAATGTTCTGATAACCAAATTTCTCTGAAGATTATCTGTCATACTATAATTAGAGGAGGAATGAAACTTGTGTATTTCGTGCAAAATTTAATTCAAAATATCAGTGCAGAGCGCTTTCGGCCTTAGGATCAGTGCTACCTGGAAGCAGAAGAGGAGAGAGGACTAAGGCAAAGAGCTGAATAATTATTCGTCACTCTGATGCAAATCATATTGAATTATCTGAACTTGGAGGATATAAAAGCTAAAATCGATGAAGACAAGTTAAATTACCTTTATTTAGCCCATGAGCTAATAACTTTCAAGAAACACAGCTTATGACTCAAACATTCAATAGTATGGCAACATACAAACTGAAGCCAACGTGTCTATAACATCAGGCATATCTTCTCAGTAGAAATCTCCGAAAGAACCCCTTAAGGTCGTCGAATGCTTAAAATTGCACAAGTCGGTTGTCATTGCTAAATTCTCTAAAGCAAGTCCAAAATTTGTTCTTTTGGCATAACAGCAAATACAAAGAAGAAAGATGAAGATCATTATGGAAGAATGTTAATTTTATTGTGGAATATCTAAATTTTCTTCAAGTGGAACTTGGTTCCTTTATATTTATGTGGCACTTGTTGAGATAATTAACTCTGATTTTCAAATTTTCCAAAATCAAAAATCATTACTTCAAGTGAATAATTGAGGTGATGCCAAATTCTTTATAACAAGTCCAAGATGAAACTTGGTTCCTTCATATGTATGTGGTACTTGTAAAGAACATCAAATCTGATTTGATATCTAAATTTTCTGAAGTAAAACTTGGTTCCTTGTATATGTATGTGGCACTTGTTAAGAACATCAAAAAACCTGATTTGCAAATTTCCCAGAATCAACAATTATTACTTCAAGTGAATTGAGGTGTCAAATTCTTTATAGCAAATCCAAGATTTGTTTTTTTCTGCATAACAGCAAACATCAAGAAGAAAGATGAAGATCATCATAAAAAGAATGTTATAATGCCATTGTGGTGTATATAAATTTTCTTGAAGTGGAATTCTTATGATATGTATGTGGCACTTATTAAGAACATCAAAACTGATTTTCAAATTTTCCAAAATCGAAAATCATTACTTCAAGTGAATAATTGAGGTGCCAAATTCTTTATAGCAAGTCCAAGATTTGTTTTTTTGGCATAACAGCAAATAGACAGAAGAAAGATGAAGATCATCATGGAAAAATGTCAATTTTATTGTGGAATATCTAAATTTTCTTGAAGTAAAACTTGGTTCCTTTATATGCATGTGGCACTTGTTAAGAACATCAAAAAACCTGATTTGCAAATTTCCCAAAATCAACAATTATTACTTCAAGTGAATTGAGGTGTCAAATTCTTTATAGCTAATCCAAGATTTGTTTTTTTGGCATAACAGCAAACACCAAGAAGAAAGATGAAGATCATCATAAAAAGAATGTTATAATGTCATTGTAGTGTATCTAAATTTTCTTAAAGTAAAACTTGGTTCCTTTTTACATACATATGTATGTGGCACTTGTGAAGAACATCAAATCTGATTTGCAAATTTTTCAAAATCAAAAATAATTACTTCAATTGAGGAGCCAAATTCTTTTGGCATAACAGCAGATACAAAGAAGAAAAATGAAGATCCGAGTGAAGATCATCATGGAAGAATGCTAATTTTATTGTAGAAAATCTAAATTTTCTTGAAGTAAAACTTGATTCCTTTATATGTATGTCGCACTTGTGGAGAACATCAAATCCGATTTGAAAACTTTCCAAAATCAAAAATAATTACTTCAAGTGAATTGAGGTGTCAAATTCTTTATAGCAAGTCCAGATTTGTTCTTTGGGCATAACAGCAAATACAAAGAAGAAAGATGAAGATCATCATGGAAGAATGCTAATTTTATTGTGGAATATCTAAATTTTCTTGAAGCAAAACTTGATTCCTTTATATGTATGTGACACTTGTAAAGAACATCAAATCTGATTTGCAAATTTCCCCAAATCAAAAGTTATTACTTCAAGTGAATTGAGGTGCCAGTTCAAGTCCAAGATATGTTTTTTTGGCATAACAGCAAATACACAGAAGAAAGATGTAGATCATCATGGAAGAATGTTAATTTTATTGTGGAATATCTAAATTTTCTTGAAGTAAAACTTGGTTCCTTTATATGTATGTGGTATTTGTAAAGAACATCAAATCTGATTCGATATCTAAATTTTCTGAAGTAAAACTTGGTTCCTTGTATATGTATGTGGCACTTGTTAAGAACATCAAAAAACCTGTCAAATTCTTTATAGCAAGTCCAAGATTTTTTTTTTTTGGCAAAACAAAATACAAAGAAGAAAGATGAAGATTATCTTGGAAGAATGTTAATTTTATTGTGGAATATCTAAATATTCATGAAGTAAAACTTGGTTCCCTTATATGTATGTGGCACTTGTTAAGAACATGAAATTTAATTTTCAAATTTTCCGAAATCAAAAATTATTACTTAAAATAAATTGAGGTGCCAAAGTCTTTATAGAAAGTCCAAGATTTGTTCTTTTGGCATAACAGCAAATACAAAGAAGAAAGATGAAAATCATCATGGAAAAATGTTAATTTTATTGTGGAATATCTAAATTTTCTTAAAGTAAAACTTGGTTCCATTTTACATACATATTATGTATGTGGCACTTGTAAAGAACATCAAATCTGATTTGCAAATTTTTCAAAATCAAAAATAATTACATCAAGTGAATTGAGGTGCCAAATTCTTTTGGCATAGCAGCAGATGCAAAAAAGAAAAATGAAGATCATCATGGAAGAACGGTAATTTTATTGTGGAATATCTCAGTTTTCTTGAAGTATAACTTGGTTCCTTCATATGTATGTGGCACTTGTTAAGAACATGAAATTTATTTTTCAAATTTTCCAAAATCAGAAATTATCACTTCAAATTAATTGAGGTGCCAAAGTCTTTACAGAAAGTCCAAGATTTGTTCTTTTGGCATAACAGCAAATACAAAGAAGAAAGATGAAAATCATTATGGAAGAATGTTAATTTTATTGTGGAATATCTAAATTTTCTTAAAGTAAAACTTGGTTCCTTTTTACATATATATGTATGTGGCACTTGTAAAGAACATCAAATCTGATTTGCAAATTTCCCAAAATCAAAAATAATTACTTCAACTGAATTGAGATGCCAAAATCTTTTGGCATAGCAGCAGATGCAAAGAAGAAAGATGAAGATCATCATGGAAGAATGGTAATTTTATTGTGAAATATCTTTGTTTTCTTGAAGTAAAACTTGGTTCCTCTATATGTATGTGGCACTTGTTAAGAACATGAAATTTATTTTTCAAATTTTCCAAAATCAGAAATTATCACTTCAAATTAATTGAGGTGCCAAAGTCTTTACAGAAAGTCCAAGATTTGTTCTTTTGGCATAACAGCAAATACAAAGAAGAAAGATGAAAATTATCATGGAAGAATGTTAATTTTATTGTGGAATATCTAAATTTTCTTAAAGTAAAACTTGGTTCCTTTTTACATACATATGTATGTGGCACTTGTGAAGAACATCAAAAAATCTGATTTGCTTTCCCAAAATCAACAATTATTACTTCAAGTGAATTGAGGTGACAAATTGTTTCAGCCTAAAACATCAGATACAAAGAAGAAAGATGAATATCATCATAGAAAGAATGTTGATTTCATTGTGGAATAATCATCAACGAAAAATCTCTTTATAACCAGTACTTTGGCAAAAATCTCTAACTCAAGCCAGAATTATTTTCAAGTGAATTATGACGATGACAACAACTAATGTGTCATATGGCCCAAACCGAAAAATCGGAGAGTGCTTGAGCAACATTGATCGACCTAGATTGGACGTCGGGAAACTGGGTCACCCCAAAATTCTTTGCAACAGACAACGGGCCGTGTAAACCTTGGGAAATTCAATGTTTTTCTCATTAATAATTGTTGATTCGTTGAATTTTCTCTTTTAAAGCGTTTCTAATGCCCCTTATTATTGCTCAAGCCAAATGAATTTGTTTAAATTGCAACAGTAATTTGTATACTTTCACCTTTTTTTTAACACTTTAGTTGTGTTATGTATTTTGAATTTAATTGGTATAATTTTGTTGCAGGCTCACTTTGAAGTAACCAAAAAACTGGAAGAGGTCCGTTTATTGGAATCGCGTAAATCTGCCAGGCTGGCCGATCAGGACACCGATTTTGCCAGATTAGCAGACATGGCGGGAGATAGAAAACGAACTGCCTCGCATACTATCGACGTTCCTGCGCCATCTTACCATGGGTAAGTGTCAATTTTTTGTTATTTTGCCTATATATTGACAATGCACTTGAAAGAATTATTTTTAAAATTCATTTGGAATCAATTAATTATCTACGGTCATTGCTAAGTGAAATGTTTGAGATAATTAGGAAAGATTGCTATCTTTAATCTTTCGATTTTCAAGAGGTAAAAATGTTTTTGAGTGTATCCGGTTTTGTATAGAATATGAAAATTGTCAGAAATTAGAATTTTTCATTATTTAGCGTTTCTTTCTGATACATAACTATCTCTTTCAAAAAACTGATATTGGGACAGAATATGCTGTTCGCTGAGAATCATTCCTGGACATCATCTTCTTCACTCCTCCATAAAACGAACATCCTGTAGTTTCATGTGTAATTTAGATCTTTGCCTCATCATATTCAGTTCATGGATCTGATTGACACTGGCTTGAAGATTGTGAGATGTTGTCGAATAATGTTTGACCCTGCATGCATCAGATCTGGACTTTCTCAATTACCAAAAATTGATAAAACCGTCCTTATGAAGTCTGCTTGTGTGTCTCAGAACAGCTTGCCTCAAAACAATAAAGTACCTATGATAATGAATTGGGAATTCCTGCGTTTTTTTTGCAGCCAACATTGATTACATCATGTTCCACTTGCTGTTACCAACATATATGGGCAAAATCAAATTGAGAACGAAACACCGGCTTCTGGGAATTCTCTCCTGCAAGTTTCTGTCATCGCGTGTCAAGATTTATTTGATGCGCAACGATTCTTCCGCATATCGGTACGACTTCAAAGAAGAGTTGGTGCGATATATGCTCAACGTCACTGAGCACAAAACGGTGAGATTAAATCGTACAAGATAAATTATCGTCCAATCGATCGATGTTATTGATTGCGTGTTGGAAATAATGACCGTTGCTGATTTATTTCTAAGAATGTTTTGGCTTCGATAGTAAACATTTGTTTTGTCGATATTATGTAAATAAATCCTGTCCATCGTTAATCTGAACAAGAAATTATACCTTGTAGGTCACGATCGGAGTAATAATTATCCAATCAATCAAAGGTCAAGAACGTTCGGTTAAAATCAACCTGCAACTTTTTCTTATCACTCAGATTTGTTTTAAAGTAGTTTTTACTGCACCAAAGAATTGCGGGACGTGGTAATAAATTTGTGGATAATTATTATTATTGTCTTGTTGCCAAGGCACAAAAAAAGTGTGAAAGTTTTTCGGCCACTATAAATCTTTTGATGTCTCACTCAAGAAATTAGTTCAATGAGGACTCGTTATGGTGCAGAATTTTCTCACGAATCATAATATTTTTTCCAAAGACTAGCTACAGGAAGCATCCTTAATTACATTAAATTATCCTACATACAGAAACCTGCATGATTATAGCATCAGTTGCGAACTAGAGCGTTAAATGATTTCATTATTGTCAAAAATGACTTTGAAGGTGTTTCAAGGTTCAAATATATTACTATTCGAATCAGAAATCGATCAATGTTAATACTTATATGATTGATTACCGGACGATTTGCATATAATAAACATTCCGTTCCGTGTGGTAACTTCCCACCCATTTATCAAACAATTTTTATAACTATTGACATGCTCGAACGCCGCACTGGATTTTCATCAATTTGTATAAACCACAAAGTATGTTTAAACACAGAAACCAATTAGAAAAACAAACTAGAACGATGCACATGTAGTTGTTAAAATAAACAGTATGAGACTAAACTGGGAAACACCAATCTACGTTTTGGGTCATTAAAGTCAATTTCTTCTCGGATTTCACAGCCCCTGATGATACATATTTCACTTTGATGAAATCAATTAGTAATGGTGTTTTGGCATTTAGCAGAGATGCATTTAGGAATGAAATTTCACAAAGAAAATATGTGTCATAACAATGACAAACGCAATAATTTACATACAAAACACAGATTTCCACATCAAAAATTGGCTAATTTATGCAATAAACATCTACACAGTGAGAAACTATAGAAGTTAGTGGTAGAATTATCAATAATTATTTGTTACTTTGAAGGTATTGTGTTCGTGTCGCAAACTTACCCACAACATTTGAGAAGTAGCCAAAAATTAAAAATTCTTCTTTCATTTTCCTAAGGTCTTGTAGTAGTAGATCGTGCATGAAAGTCTTTAACTTTGTTCAAATATGAATTGATATTCTTATTCACATCCTTTACCTCCTACAAGAACATTGGGCATACGAGAATTAAGCAGAATGGGAAGATTTCTTTTCTGTAAAAGGGGCATCTAAATGGAGCCCAGGACTTGCATCTATGTCGACAAACGGATCGAGTCCACTCTAATTGCTAACTTCTGCTCTAGAGACGTAGTAGCGGTAAAGCTATGCCTCAAGGACAGGCTGGGACAGAGCAGATCGATAGTAGTTTGCTCGGCCTATCTGCCCTATGACTCAACAGATGATCCCCCAAGTAGTACTGTAACTCACTGGACCCTGATTGTCGGATGCGATGCCAACGTACAACACATGGTGTGGGGCAGCACCGACATGAACCGGAGAGGGCTCAGTCTTCTGGAGTACCTTCACACCACGAATTTAGAAATCCTGAATTGTGGCGGCGCACCGTCCTTTAGACTTGACATTGGGCTCACTATTCATGGTCGCGATAATAAGAAAGTGGAAAGTGTCTGACGAACCGTCCCTATCGGATCACAGACGCATACTATTCAGCTTAGACCTTGATCACAAGACTGGGCCTAGTAAGTTCAGGAACCCCCGGAACACGAACTGGGACCAATACGTTGAGATCCTAGGGGCTGAACTAGAAGAGTTTTCCACGCCATGCCGCAGCACAAGGCAAGTGGAGGAAACAGCCGAATTCATACGCAACGCAATCACCAATGCGTACGAACGAAGCTGTCAGCTTCGGACCTATCGAGGAAAGAAGAAACCCCTAGGTGGAACTCCGACCCAGGACGAGAGCTGGGGTCACTAAGGCTTCCCTTCGGAAGTTATAGCGCTACCGCAGAGGAGGCACTTGGTTGGCTCTTGGAAACACAGTTTCCGGGCTCTGAAATCCTGCAAACTGGTGAACCACCAATACACGCTCCACAAGCGCATGTAAGAGTGGTGTGTGAAAACTCCGTCAGATGAGCCATCCACTCATTTGGAGCTTTTAAGAGTGCGGGACCATCAGATGGAATCTTTTCCGCTCTTTTAAAAAAGGGGCTGGAACTACTGATTCCGCACCTAATACGTCTCTTCAGGGCCAGCCTCGCATATGGTCAAGTACTACATGCGCGGCGTAGGGTCAAAGTGGTATTTTTCCCCAAGCCAAGACGCTCTAATTACGAATCGTCTAAGGATTACAGACCCTCTATCCTCGTTTCTTCTAAAAACGCTGGAAAAACTGGTGGACACATTCATCAGGGAAGGGGTATTAAAAGCAATGCCTATGCACCCTAATCAACACGCCTACAGGACTGCGGTGTCAACTGAGACGGCTCGCCACAGTCTTCTGGCAAGAGGTGGTACAATTGTACCAGGTTCAGTACCATTCGTTTTGAAAAAGTACGCTGGTACGACATTGGTATATTTGGTACAATTTTCAATTTTTTTATTTTTTCCAAATTCTCAAAGAGTCTGAGCCTACTTAGTCTAATCTCGATGTTCTAATTAACTTGTATTTCTGTATCCAAATTCGATATAACAATAATTTTTGATTCGTAAATAGATGGCGTCACCAATGTAACACGTAACACTCGTTTTGTGGTTTTTGGTTGACATAGTTTGTGTTTAGTTTAGGTTTTCGGCAGAAAATAAAGAAAACTCAAAGCCTCGTACTTTAAATCGGTTTTCCTGTACGGAAAAGCGGAAAATCCAAAGAAAAACCATTAAAAAGTGACATTCCAAAGCCTACTTGATGAAACTTAAGTTTTTGTTACTTACCCCGTTGAAAAACTCGAAATTTTTGACAAAAAATGAATGAAACTCAAATCTTCGTACTTTCAATCGATTTTCCCGATCGAAAACAGCCCGGAAAAGTGGAAAATTCGAGGAAAAACTGGATAAAAATGTAAACACGTCAAATGATAATGGCTGACTGTCAAAAATGACAAATGATATTTATTACAAGGCCTCCTTGACTGAAGTTAGCCACAAGCGATGTTGCCACTTCAAAAGCATTTTAAATGGGATTTTGCCAATTATGGCATTTAAAAGTGGAAATTTTTGCTAGAAAATGAAGAAAACCCAAAGCCTCGTCTGTTAAATCGCTTTTTTTCCATTAAAAATCCCTGGAAAAGTCAAAAATTCGAGGAAGAACTGGCAAAAAATCACAAAACGTCACTTCAAAATGGCCGACTAAAAGCAGCATTGCAACATTACATCTCGGAAAACAAAAATAACAATTTTAAATAGGTTTTTTGTTTAAAATTCAAAAAGGAAAAATCTTAAGAAAACCCAATAGAAAAGCAACATTCCAAAGTCAACTTAATAAAACTAAAGTTTTTGAATATTCCCTCTTTGATTGGGAGCTGAAAATCGCATTTTGAATATTCCCAGTTTTTGATTGGTTCCAAATTATCCTTTGACCAATAGAATTATAAACTAGGCCCCGTGATTAAATTAACTCCGGCCCTTCGGGCCCGCGTATAACTCCGGCTTTTCGGGTTCCGTATAACTCCGGCCCTTCGGGCTCGCATATAATTAACAGTTTTCCCGATCGAAACCGGCCTGGAAAAGTGGAAAATTCGAAGAGAAACTGGATAAAAACACTCGAAAATGGCCGACTGTCTAAAATGCCAAATGAAATTACATTTCAAGACCTACTTGAACAAAAGCGATGTTGCCGTAATTACAATCTCAAACATAATGTTTTTCCAGATTTTAGTGAGTAAAACAAAGAAGATAAAGTAGGATACATTAGTAAAAAACCAAAAGCGATTATAAATGAGTAAGACAAAGAGCGAGAAAAAGTAGGAAACAATTTAAATGATCAGTTGGTCGAGCCAA